TTAACCTTGACGTGCAAGTTTTGGCACAAAATCTCAAAGGATCCACACTCGAGAGCCGAATGGTTGATAGAGCATTATGGTTCACATGCTTTAGTTTATGCTATTAAATTTGGTCCTGACTTTATTAGCGTTAAATTGGTGGAATGCTTGCTTGCCAAAAATATTATTTTATCGCAATATCTTATGCAAAAATTATCTTCTAATGTTGGTAAATCCGATGAAAAATTAACCAAGCTGAGAAATAATAATAATAATAATAGCACTACCAAAAATATTTCTAACAATTGGGGATCTGACATTCCGTTAGATGTATATATTTACTTATTGATGAAAGCAAGTCCAATATGGAAGTCTAATTTACATTTGAAAGGAAATGATATGCAAGTCTTTTTTTACTTGTCAGGCGGGGATCTTCCAATCGATCAAGCGAAAATCAAAATGAATGAAAATTTATCAAAAATCGAGGATTTGATCTTGAAAAACAAATTTATACCATTTCCACAACGGCCAAAGCAACAAATCAACAACATTATAAAATATCAGGAAAATTTAAAACTTAAAAGTGTTGAAAAAAATCATTGTCTAAATGATGGTTATGAAAATAACATAACCTCAAATATTATCCCAAGAGCAATTATTCTCAATCCTAGATTAGTCACATTATGGAAAAATAATGGATACAAGGATATTTGCCATGATTACAATGATTTAGTATTAAAAGCAACTTATCTCACATTATTTCCACCAACTATTTTCAACAACAATGACAACAACAATGATACTAATATTCCTGATTTAACTAAAGTTGTTTCAAGATTGAGGGAATTTGTCAATTTGGGTTTTAAATTAACCAAACTAGTCATGGGTGATGTGTTGCTATTATTTGAAAATGAATTATCAATGATTGGTGAATTGATCTTGAAATCATTCCAAATATTCAGAAATGAAGATATACAACAAATCTTGGAATATTGTTTGATTCAAATCCTCAAGCCTGAAAAAGGTCTAAAAAATTTAACCGTTTTAGAATTCTTGTATGAAAAACTTGAAAATCC